AAAATTTTAATTTTCATGAATTTTTTTCTTCAAGTGTTCTATAAAATCTTTAGCTTAGGTTTACATGGTATTTGTTAGGGAATGAACTGTATTTTAATCGAAAAATCTTAAATAAATACGTATGCTTCATTAAATGTTTATGTTTTATTCAAGGATTTACATATTTATGTAAGTTAACAAAAAGATGTAACTACATCAATAATTATGTTCGCTTAAGTACCCGCATGGAGGNCTCTTGTTTGCATTGATTTTTACTATATTTCTGTTGGATAATGGATAATATCCAAAACCAATCGAGTGGCAACACTCTCATTATTTTGACAGCTGTTCGAACTAACGTCGAGTGAGAAGTTGAACAGGAACCGCAGCACACGCTCGTGAATTTACAAACCTCTTTATTAATAATTGTTNAAAAGCTGACATTTTTCGTGAGGTACTTAAGTATATATATGTATATACTAGGGTGGCTCAATTAGTAGGTCAATTAAAAAAGTTGTATCATATCCTTGCGATTCTGGTACTATGGACCATAACAAACATTTTCGCCCAAGGAACCATACCTCTAAAATCATTTTCGAGCCTGCCAAAATTTNTCAGACAAGTATAAATTTGGTTGATCATGGCGAATACAGTTGAGCAAGTTTTAACCCGTCTGCTGGTGCAACAAAGTGAAACGCAAAAAGCTACACAAGAGCTTCTTCAGAACGTAGTGTCTCAAATTAACACGAAACGCCCACTTGTTGCAGCAGCACCCTCATACAATGGTTTCAACCGAGAACAGCTGATGGACATTCTATCAAAACAAATTAAAGAATTTGTACATGCACCTGAAGAAGGCAATACGTTTGAAACTTGGTATACAAGGTATCAAGACATATTCGAAGAAGATGCTAAACAACTCAGTGATGCAGATAAAACTAGGCTTTTGCTACGTAAGCTCAGTTCCGCAGTTTACCAGCAGTATGCACATTAGACCGTTCGTTATTTTAACTATTTTTTTAAATATACAGTTTGCCGGGCTTGAAAAGATGTATTTTGGTCTAAAAATAAGCTGTGCAAAATTTTATTCGAATATAATAACTCTAAGTACTTGCGCGTTGCATTTGAAAATTTAGAAAACCATATGCATTCTGGGAAAAAAATTTTTAACAAAATAGTTGAAAGTCGTGAATTTTATAGTCATTTGCCATGTAAAATAACCTACACAATCTGAATATGAGGTCAAAAATTAAAAAGGTAGAATACGTTTTAAGAATTTGCGAAATTATCGTTTTTTTCAAATTGAGAAAACAGCATTTTCAATTTTTTCCAAAAATATCCGGTTGTGATTATCACACCACAAAAAGATCTCCACCAGATTAAAGGTCTTTGAAATCCCTACGAACCTGCTATACAATGTTTTGCAATCAAATTATCAGTTTAAGAGTTATCTGCCAATTTATTAGTGAAATCGGACACAATTTTAAGTCGCATCGTTATTCTACTGTGAATTACACCTAAAAGCTGCAAACTTTTTGTTCTTATTTTTATGCTATGTTAAAGCTTATTTAATTTCAAAGTATATAGATCCAAATTTTTTGCAAATCGATTTGAAAATAGAAAAGTTATAGCAAATTTAGTAAATGACATTGGATTCAAGCAACGTATCGATACTGTACAGCACATTTGATTGTAAAATAAATTAAAATATCATTTCCAGTGGCATGTTATGCACATCGCAATTAGAAAAACAGCTGACAATAGGTTTGTTTCATTAAGCAATAGTTTTAAATATTTTTTAAAAATTGTTACAAATTATCATGCTTTGGCTAGCAAAAAAGTTGATAAAATAAGATAAATTGAGATAGCAAAATAACGTTTGATTTTTAGATAAGGTTTGGAAGTTTCTGCGGGATACATTTATACTTGTAAAACTGAAACAATGGTACTTATTGAATGTATTATGTATTTATATTATGATCCTTATTTTCAAGTAATACTACGCTCAAAATAATGTCTAATAACCGCTTGAAAAGCTCATCTGGTCAACCTAGTGCCCAGTAGCCAAATTCAATAAAATGTGGCCAAATTTGATAAGAAAAGAATATTTCAGAAAAAGCTTGTAAAAAATAAAACTATATTTCATGATTTTTTAATAAACAAGTGCCGATTTATTGTGTGATGTATATTGTTTTCGATATGCTTCTACAAATTGAAGCAGCGATTGTGTTTGCTCCTCATTTTTTGTCAATATTCGATTGTAATCTTTCATAAATTTAACACCCCGCTCAGCTGTGTCATTTACAACGAATAAATCTCGACAAAATTCGAGAGCGTCTATATAATCTTCATTTTTTCCCCATTCGGATGGATCCATCCGTAAGAAGTCAGAAGACAAACCAAAGGCAACGAAGAAATTTTTAGTTTTGTAGGACACGAAATCTCTAATAGTTTTGCCAATCAAGAGAACGGGATTTGAAATTACTCTATCTTCACTGAATTTTACGTTTGGCTCAACTGCTTGCAGTGCCTTCACCATTTCTCGTTTTTCCTCCACTGGCACATCATTTTTCAAAACCGCATTGGATACCACTGCATCAGTTTGGGCGTACTCAATTTCATTTTGTAAAAATTTTAAATCTTGCATTGGAGCCTTAATGGGATTTGTGCACTGGTACCAAGCTTTCATATAAAGGCGAATGAGGAAAATGCAAATATCTCGTAAACTATTAAATTCTCTTGGCGTCAGTTTGAACTGTTCTCGAAAAAGAAATATCTTCAGGCAATAAATAGCTTTCGACATAAACCGCGCATGGGATGTTGGGCCGTATGTTCGAAAATCACCACTAGTACCACCTAAAAAAGCAAATGCTAGCTGAAGCAGCTCCTTGTAATCCCCGCGAATCTGGACTTTCTGAAGCTCGTACGTACAAAAATGCTTAATGTCTTCCCACTGCAGCTCTGTTATTTTTGAACGAACAATTTCGTCTTCAAGTCGACTTTTAAACATATTATGGTTGAGGTTGTTCCATTCAGCAGCAAACCGATTAAAAATTGAAACTTCTGGTGCGCTGGAGGCTAAATATTTTGTCTCGAAAACGTGCCTCAATACGATTTCGAAAATGTGGTGGCGACAAGCAAGACTAATGAGATTTCGCCCGAGATGCTTTTGCAAGAGAATTGATGCTCCATTTTTTACGCCCGTATTTACGGAAGTGGTATCAACACTCATACCACCAACTCGATCAATGAGGTTCCATCTGATTAAAAGATCGCGAACAGCGCTCGCGATATTTTCACCAGTAGCGGGATTTACAACTGCAGCGCTGAGAAATTTGGACGTTCCTTGATAGCTCAAGAGAATTGCAATTCGCTCCACTTTTTGCGTGCCAACTATGTCTGCCATTAATTTTCCGTCCCAATGAACGACCACTGATCTCACATTCCTAATCTATGTATGTATGTACATATAAAATTATTGCAAAAAAATGCATATATTAATAACTAAAAGTAAACCCAGAAGAAATCACTACAATTACGTTTTCATTAAACTCCGCTATAGAAGACTCAAATCCACGTTGGCGGTTCTTTTTTCGTTGTTCATATATTGATGAGCGATTGATCACAAATTCGTCCGCCTCAACACCAAAAGCTTCAGCTGCTGCAACCAAAATATGTACTGCCTTCCCGGAGGATACTTTGGCATCGTCCAGTAACCAAAATAATTTTTTTATTGTTCCACATCATATGACAAAGCTTTTTTTACCGTCAGTATAGTATATTTTATTTAAAAGAAAACATTCGATATTTGCTATTTTGTTTGTCCGTAAACTATAGGCTTAAGTTGTTCTTTAAAATGTCCACAGATACATATGTATATTTCTTCCTGGAAAATTTTATTCTTTATCCTGTAGAAACTTTATCTGTTATTTTTCTCTCTAAATTTATCCCTTTTTTATAAATTTTTTTGCAGTTTTTTCGTATTAAACCGCCAAGCCGTGATAATTCGTAACAATTGTTCCAAACTATTACAAACTATTGCTTAATAAACAAGCGGTTATTAGACATTCTTTTGAGCGTAGTATTACTTGAAAATAAGGATCATAATATAAATACATAATACATTCAATAAGTACCATTGTTTCAGTTTTACAAGTATAAATGTATCCCGCAGAAACTTCCAAACCTTATCTAAAAATCAAACGTTATTTTGCTATCTCAATTTATCTTATTTTATCAACTTTTTTGCTAGCCAAAGCATGATAATTTGTAACAATTGTTAAAAAATATTTAAAACTATTGCTTAATGAAACAAACCTATTGTCAGCTGTTTTTCTAATTGCGATGTGCATAACATGCCACTGGAAATGATATTTTAATTTATTTTACAATCAAATGTGCTGTACAGTATCGATACGTTGCTTGAATCCAATGTCATTTACTAAATTTGCTATAACTTTTCTATTTTCAAATCGATTTGCAAAAAATTTGGATCTATATACTTTGAAATTAAATAAGCTTTAAATAGCATAAAAATAAGAACAAAAAGTTTGCAGCTTTTAGGTGTAATTCACAGTAGAATAACGATGCGACTTAAAATTGTGTCCGATTTCACTTATAAATTGGCAGATAACTCTTAAACTGATAATTTGATTGCAAAACATTGTATAGCAGGTTCGTAGGGTTTTCAAAGACCTTTAATCTGGTGGAGATCTTTTTGTGGTGTGGTAATCACAACCGGATATTTTTGAAAAAAATTGAAAATGCTGTTTTCTCAATTTGAAAAAAAAAACGATAATTTCGCAAATTCTTAAAACCTATTCTACTTTTTTAATTTCTGACCTCATATTCAGATTGTGTGAGTTATTTTACATAGCAAATGACTATAAAATTCACGACTTTCAACTATTTTTTAAAATTTTTTTTCCCAGAATGCATATGGTTTTCTAAATTTTCAAATGCAACGCGCAAGTACTTAGAGTTATTATATTCGAATAAAATTTTGCACAGCTTATTTTTAGACCAAAACACATCTTTTTCCGCCCGGCAAACCAAATTTTATTTTTAACGAACGGTCTAATGCACATATAATATTGCCGGCCAAACCAAACGAAATTGATTACAGCGCCACAGTGAGTAAGCCAACGTCCATGTTTGGAGAAAAACAATCGCTCTTCAGCATTCGTTATAAATGCTTTCAAACAGTAAAAAATGATTTGGAAGACTACACATCCTACATAGCAAGAGTAAATCGACAGTGTGAAAAATTTCAGCCAGATAAATGCAGCAGTTATAACTTGAAATGCTTAATATTTGCTAGCGGCCTACAATCTACAAAAGATGCACTTTTTCGTAATGAAATTCTTAAAATGCTGGATGAAGAAAAACCCAGTAAACCAGTTACTTTGGATTTGATACATGCGGAGATTCAACGAACACTTCTACGTCAGCAGGACATTAAAATGATCGGAAATACTCCATCGATTACGCATGCAGTTCGTACGCAGGCAAACCAGAGCCAAAAACAGTTAAAGAAAAATATCACGAAAACTCCACCTTCTCCATGTTGGTTTTGCGGAGAAATGCACTATGCTCGTTATTGTTTATACGCGAGTCACAAGTGTTCACAATGTGGAACCACTGGTCATAAAGAAGGATATTGCAGCGCAAAGAAACGTGGTGCGTTCAAACGCAACAAGCAGCAAAAAGACAGTTCGCCGCAACAACAACAACAACAACAACAACAAAAGAGTGTACAAAAGCAGCAAACACACAATACACTGAAATCTACCGAGTCTACTGCACAAACTAGAATAATAACCGATTTCTCACAACTGAGAAGACACATCGCAATTTTAATAAATGGTATTAAAACTCAACTACAGCTGGACACCGCTTCAGACTGCACTATAATTTCGCAAAAAGTATGGAAGAATATCAACATGCCAACGTTGAATGCAACTAAACATACAGCTCGCGACGCGAATTGCAACAAAATCAGCTTCAAAGGCGAGGTTATTGCTAACATAACACATCAAGGCGAAACAAAGAAAATGAAGGTGTTAGTCACATTGGTCAACAATCTCAATATCGCAGGCGCAGACTTCTTTGAAGAATTTGGTCTTTGGGATATACCTATCAATGCATTTTGCATGAAAGTACAACTCTCAGAGAAAGAAGCAGAACAAATTCAAAGCAGAATTTCCTACTGTATTTCATAAAGAGCTTGGACACTGCGAGAAAATTAAAATTCATCTACCACTAAAGCCAAACGCGATTCCAAAATTTTGTCCAAAACGTCCAGTCCCGTATGCGGTAACATCAATGGTGGAAGCAGAGTTAAATCGACTTCAAGACGCAGGCGTCATCACTCCAACAAACTATTCCGATTGGGCAGCACCAATTGTAATAGTGAAACGTCCGAATGGTAAAATCAGAATTTGTGCGGACTACTCAACAGGTCTCAACGCGTGTGTCGAAGCACACTTTCATCCACTGCCATTGCCAGAAGACATTTTCGTAAATCTCAAAGGTCGTAAGTACTTTACTTTTGATTTTAATGACGCGTATATGCAGTTTGATGTCGACGAGGTCACTAAAAATATTTTGACTATTAATACACACCGGGGATTATATAAATTTAACAGGCTTGTACCTGGAATTAAATCAGCACCGGGTGCATTTCAACAAGCAATCGAAAAAGTTCTAATAGGCGTTCAAGAAGCAACACCCTATTTAGACGACGTTATAGTTGCAAGCAATAATTTAAGTCAGCATGTAAAATCAATTAGACAAGTACTACAGCGTTTTGCGGAGTACAACATCACAGTAAACTATGACAAATGCGAATTTTTTCAAACTAAAATAAAATACTTAGGTCATATAGTAGATACAGAGGGCATTCGTCCTGACCCTAATAAAATAATGGCTATCATAAACTTGCCAAGACCAACTAATGTCAATGAACTGAGGTCATTTCTTGGCTCAGTAAACTTTTACTGTAAATTCATTGCAACAATGAGATCACTTCGAGCACCGCTTGATGAATTGTTACAGTCGCAGAAAAAATGGTTTTGGTCAACAAAATGCGAAGAATCATTTCAAAAGTTCAAAACTATTTTAACGTCAGACTTGATGCTTACACATTTTAATCCACAACTACCAATTATAGTGGCAGCAGATGCATCCATGCAAGGGCTTGGAGCACAAATTTCGCACATTATGCCGGATGGAACTGAAAAACTGGTAGCACACGCATCAAGATCGCTGACACCCGCAGAGAAAAATTATGGGCAAATTGAAAAAGAAGCACTTTCCTTGGTTTTCGCAGTAAAAAAATTTCATCGCATGGTGTACGGTCAGAAATTTATTCTACGTACCGACCATAAGCCACTACTTTCAATTTTTGGAGCAAAAAAGGGAATTCCAATACATTCAACAAGTAGACTTCAGAGATGGGCTCTCACCCTAATGTCATATGATTTTGGTATTGAACATGTAAAAACTGAACATTTCGGAAATGTCGACATGCTATCTAGACTGATACCACCTAAGCACGTTGATGATGAAGATTTTGTAATCGCATGTGCTACACTAGAATACAACATCAGATCAGTAGTACATGACAGCATCAATACACTACCAATTACTCATCACATGATTGAAGAATCTACACGAAAATGCACACTACTTCAACAAGTTATGCTTCACGTTCAGACAGCATGGCCCAAAGATGCAAAATCATTGCATAACAACGACTTGATCCCATATTTTAATCGCAGGGAATCACTTTCAGTTGTTGATAACATATTGTTAGATGGGGAACGCATTGTTATTCCATTAACATACCGAAATCGAATCCTTAAGACGTTACATAAAGGTCATCAAGGACAACAACGAATGAAAGCTATTGCACGCAGTCATGTGTATTGGCCAAGCATAGATAAAAACATAGAAGATTATGTGCGCGCATGTGGAAAATGTCAGCTCAATGCTAAGACACCCGTGAAAACAAAATTAAGTTCAGGGCCTATTGCAGAAAGAGCAATGCAACGCATTCACATAGATTTTGCAGGTCCTGTTCGTTCAAAGTACTATCTCATTATAGTCGACTCATATTCAAAGTGGCCTGAGGCATATCAGTCCACAACCATTTCAACAGCCAAGGTCATAGATATTTTGTCAGACTTTTTCAACCGTTTCGGTTATCCTGAATCCATCGTTTCGGATAATGGTACACAGTTTGTCAGTGCAGAATTTCAGCANAGATTTTGCAGGTCCTGTTCGTTCAAAGTACTATCTCATTATAGTCGACTCATATTCAAAGTGGCCTGAGGCATATCAGTCCACAACCATTTCAACAGCCAAGGTCATAGATATTTTGTCAGACTTTTTCAACCGTTTCGGTTATCCTGAATCCATCGTTTCGGATAATGGTACACAGTTTGTCAGTGCAGAATTTCAGCAATTTTGTAAGGCACGAAACATCCGACATTTTAAAACAGCTCCGTACCATCCACAAAGCAATGGACAAGCAGAAAGGTACTCGGATATAGTAAAACGAGCTTTAGAAAAATCTTTCACAGAAGAGACGAAAGACAACTAAAATCTTCAAGAATTTCTATTACAATATCGTTCAACACCTAATCCGAATTGCGTGGAGGGGAAGACACCAGGAGAATTATTCCTGGGTAGAAAGCTTCGCACAGAAATTGACTTTTTAAAGAAACCAAAATTTGACAGTCCACAAAAGAACACAAAAATGGAAAAACAATTTGACAGTAAACATGGTACTAAACTTCGGCAGTTTTATGTGAATCAGAAAGTTTTTGTTAAAGTATTTAAAAACAATAAGATGAC